CCCCCCCCCCCCCCCCCCCTAACTTCGTTGCAGGGGTATAATGATCAAAAGACAAAAGTAAAAAGGTATAAATGGTGCTTACCTTCAAAGTCTGCATCTCCTACTCCAACAATGATGATCGACATAGGTAACCCAGACGCCTACCAATGATAAAACCATATTAGGAACAAATGTTGTTAAGAACACCAGTACTAGACTAACTTCAAGATAATCAATAATTCTCGGACTCCTTCTAAAGAGCGGAAGTGGTCGTGTGGTTTAAGGCGTCTGTCCATCTATGACCACAAGCCCTCCACCACTGGGTTGTAGGTTAGAAATCTACACAGGGCAGTCACTAGCCCTCCACCACTGGGTCGCGGGTTAGAAATCTACACAGGGCAGTCACCAGGTACTGGCCACAGGTTGGTGTTTTTTCTTCAGACACTCTGGTTTTCCTCCAGCACCAAAACCTGGCACATCCTTCAATGACTAAACCTGTTGATACTGTATAGCGGGAAACTGTACCGCAGTTTAACTTTCGCCTTAATGATGGTGAATTTATCATGACAGCGAATATTTGTAAAATATAATATATAGTGATTACATGTTAAGGGCAAACTTTACACTGGGCAAACATGGATTTTACCGGCAGAGGGCAGATATCAGACAGGGCGAACGTTTACCAGTATACAGTAGGACGTTAAACACAAACAAACCAAATCTTACGCCTTTTTTTCTTGACTTTTCTTTTTAACAATAATGAGTGTTATTCATAGATTTTATGAGGGTACAATGAAATGGCCGACATGGGTACTTACACTGATTATCGCCTGCATGGTTTGGGGCATGTCTGTGATTACGCCATCCGTGATGATGAGTAGCACAAAATAGTTAGAGCCGTCCTGTACCGCAGTGGCGAACCTACACAGAGTTATACACACTGTAATCAAACAGGTTTCATAAGACATACATGTACAAGGAAGTGTGTATAATTGGAAAGGTTTCATCACATTTCCATCAATAACCAATATTACTTTATAAGTATAAGTTTTGTATATCAATATAAGATTTAACACATTTTTGTGAAAAATCTATATACTGGTATGTCTGATATTCTATTTCTATGCAAAAGACAGAAACAATGTTTCACTTTATTTCTGATTCTTTAAATTCTCTAGAGATAAAAAGTTAACATTTTCTGAGGCAGGCTGCTAGGAAACTGTAGCCTAGCCTCCATTTGATCTCTACATGGCTGTCTTTTACATACACCGAGACATATAAAAGCTTTTTGAGTCCTGTCCTATGAACTATATGTACTTGTACAGTATAAAGAATATAGGAGGTAATTCATTGAAAGAAAGGAGTAACAGTAAATTCTGAAAGTCCACGCTTTTATCCCACTAATAATTGAACCCTTAACAGTTGTATGGAATGCTAGTGGCTGAACCAACAAACATGGCAGCAGGTAATTTATTGTATCAAACTGTTCCATATCAGGTGGTTGCAATTGGTTGGTGCAGTGAAGAGTGACTCGCCTTTACCAAAATTGCAAGACTCCATGAAAATGGTATTGTTTCACCTGCCTGATATTTTTATTGTTTTTCTCTTGGTAGTAGTTTCTTTCCCACATCAACACCCCCTATATGCTTCTATCCAGGCCAATACAATATTTATATGAGTTGGAAAAATTTGTTAATAATTGGTGAAAAATAAATAAAGTCAATATTTTTTATTGGTGAACTGTTTTACAAAAATATTTCTTTTAGGGAAGAATTAACAGCAGTACGAGTAAAACCAAATAATATATTATTTTATAAATATTTCACTTCATTAAGCAACTGCTTTCCTAGCTAAGGTGATGTGTTCACATACCTGGCAACATGGTTGATGACAGGGGCGAAGTTCGTCGGGCCGTACAACTGGACGTTCTTTAGAGAGTTGAAGTAGGCCTGGAGGATTCCCTGTACACCTTGACAGAATGGATTGCTCGGGTTGAAGTTCTGAAATTTAGTAAGCCATTCAGATTGATGTCTCGCCTGTGCCCCACTTTGACCATCAATGCACATATCAGA